CAGTTATTACTAGTGGTAAATATATCATAGTTCTGATAGGGGGGGGGGGGTTGGATTTCAAATTTACAGATATAATGGGTTTCAACTCTCTTTTTATTTTATTGTAAATTTATTTTATAACGTTTATCATATTTTTTATGTTCACATATATTTCCCTGTAATTGAATGACTATTACCATTTTCGTGAACATACAACTTATTATATAGTATACGCCAGTGCCGTCGTAAGCTTTTGCGAAGCCCTAGGCCAATGCAGTTCAATTTCCTTAAACCTAAGTATACTTAATTATTCTAACTTCAAAAATTGTGTGCCCCAAATTTATTTTAAGTGCGAGGCCCTAGAAAATCGTCTAAGTTGCTTGCTCGCTAATGATGGCACTGGTGTACTCTTATTCGATTTAAATTTCAAAATAAACAGTTAAAGAAAAAAAATTAAGATTAAACATTATTGTATTGAACATGTTATAAATATTTTATTTTACCAAAAAGTAGAAGGCAGAATTTAAAAGTACCACTTCTTGGAAACCGAATTATAACCCTTTCTAATTGGTAATTGTGGGTTTAGCCGATCAAACCTCTCTAATTACGCATTTTATTACATTCATATCATACGTACTCGTTATTGTAATTATTTTTGATACATCGTTATTAATCAACTAACCATGATTAAATACATTATTAACTCACCAAATGCATGTTAATCCAATAAATGTATCGTACAGATATCTTCCAACTCTAAATATAGATGATAACTAAGTTTATTGTGTAACGTTTTTTACGCTTAGTTGCACAATAACCATTGTCCTAATAATTACACAAAGCCTCGAGCCCTTCTTTCTTTTGTATTTATTTTTATTCCTATTTATATTTGAATCGCTAATAATTTTATGCTTCATAAAAATAAAAGAAACGGATTTTCAATTGCCTATCGATCGATTATATTTAATTGTAGTGAATACGTTTACACGTTATCATTATACTGCATCGGCAAATATTTAAATTGAAAGTTGAATTCCATTTATATGTTTGTTCATTATTGTTATGTGCAATTAATGAGTACAATTACTCACTTCGATTGCCTTTAAAATAAAAATTTATATTAATACCCGTTGATAATAAGATGTTGAATAAATTACAAACTTAATAGATATTATTATTCATTCTTTTTTTTTTTTTTTTTTTAAAAAATCCATTTATATCAAACCTTACACGGAAAAACAAAACAGTTCAACCCACTCTTAAAATAGTAGATTTAACAGTATTTTATAATTGCTATAGGGATAGTTATAATGTCAGTGATAATAACTATAATGTTCTAGTTAAGTTATTATAGTCATTGTTACAAGAAAATAAAGTAATTTTTACTAAAATTTTATAGTTCACTATATATTTTAATTTAATTGTTCAAACAATATTTATAGTAGTACACACTGGAATTTATAATAGTTAGAACTGGAAGGTTTAGTTCATATCACTGCAGCAGAAATTAAATTTTCTATAATTAACAGTTTATTGAGTTTTAACTCGTAATAACCACTACTATAAAATTAAGTATTCGTAACCAAGTTTTATATTTAATTATTTTATATATTTAGTAGTACCTGCATATATAGTATTTTTTACTATAAATTACAATAATATTTTCATTCAAATTGTACCTATTATAATTGCTATTTTTTTGGCTAGTTTATGCTTTTACTTATAACATTTAAAAGAACGTTGTTAAATATGGTATCCAAATATAATTTCGTTTATTTAAAAAAAATATGATATTATTATATTATATTTTTTTTATTTTCAATTGTGTAACATATTTACTGGTTGTTTGGTTACTAATTAAAATAACAACATACTTAAGATTTTGTATATAGTTATATTCCAAAAACAAATAACAATAGGACATATATACTTTTTTCAAATAAGAATTCACCATGGGCGGCGGACACAAATCTGGTCAAACAAAAACAATATATAATATATATATACAAAAAATTTAATACTAATTAATTACAAGTGGTGGAGTATTTAATTGTTTGAAGTCTTATTTTGGTGTCTTTCTATGTGCGACACGGTACGTTTTCATTCGAAAAATAGTATGGGTTTTTTTACAATAAATAATATAAAAAAATATAGATTTAAAATAATTAGGACAGCTTTGTAATAAGCTTTATAATTAATAAACTAAAGGAGTATGTAGTAAGTCGATAAATATTTAAATAATTTGAACAAAACTCGAAAAAAACTGTATACATTAATAATCTACTGCATATTTAGTATATAGTGTAAAAAACTTACCGTTTTGACTTGAATCCTTAGAAACTTAGAGACCCGTCATGCGTCGAACTTTCTTGTAGAAGTGTTGCAAAATATGATTAATAAACGAATGACAAAAGGGTAATGGTGACACCACCATGCATTAACTCATAATACGTTTTGTAAGAAACAAAATTCTTAAGAATTTTCATTTGATGTCATGCGTGTTGCTTCTTGCCTTATTTTACCTTTGTGTTAGCGACTCGCGCGTGTTCAGTTTTTGCCGAATTACATTTCGACAGTTACGACTTATTATATTTTATAATGATTTGATATACTGCTATAGTATCAATTATCTGAGCTATTAATATAGTTGATTAAAACATATAAAAAAAAAAAAAACTTTAAAATATAGTAATATTCACTACTGAAACCAACTAATTTTATATAGTCTTAATAACTATATTGTTTTAGTCATTCCACCTATAAAATAATGATTCCTACTACATTTTCCATGACTATAAAATTGTAGTAATTTTTTTTTCCGTGTACTTACTATATAATATAATAGGTACATCGTACCTATATGTTATAGAATTAAAAACCAACATGTTTAGTTTTAATTAATACAATAAAATTACATATATTCTTCACACTAAGAAATAAGGTTATTATAAATATATCTTAATCTTTAATTATTTTTGTTAAAGTAAAAAAAATTCTCAAATTTGTATTCAATTGAAGATTGGACCCAATAAATCAATTATAATTAAAACTTAATTTAAACAAAATTACTATATTTTCATTTTTATAATTTATGTTGTGATATTATATTTTACCAACCTTTTTTTTTTTTGAATATAAAACAATCTTTACAAACAAGGACATTTAGTAATTAAGATGAAGTAACAAAACATTACATTAAGAACAACTTTTAGGAAGTTACCCTTTGGTGACATCTTCGAACTTTTGTTGGATTTACGATCACTTAAGTAAATCGCGATTCCAATTACGTTTGAGCCTGCATGGAAGATTGCCTCGAATATACGTAAAATCCATGTTTTTAATGAGGGGATTAATACTGGAGCTGAATTTGGAGTGAAATCGGAGGTAGTGGATTTTAGCGTAATCTGTGACAATATTTAATTTGAGGTCATCGTGGAGTTAAAGGTTTGTCATGTACCATGGAGGACCAGTTATAGTGCGTAGGGCAATATTCTGAAAATACTGGATGGGGCAGATGCTTGAGGGCTTGGCCATCTCCCAAATCTGGATTCCATAAAACCAGACATGTCTGATCATTGGCCTATATAAAATCATTTTGGTTTTTAGATTTACTTTAGACTTAAAGAGGAGTCGAAAGAGATGGAATCTGCTGTTTGTTGAAAAGTTCCTTTTATTTTGGAGATGGGGTTTCCAAGTGAGGCGTTTGTCTAAAATTATTCCTAGATATTTTGTCTCATTCGAGATAAATATGCTTTTATTTTTAAGTTTAATGGTTTGGCAAATACCGGGGCGTAGAGCGAAAGTGACTTGGGAGGTTGCTCTCATTAATACTTATTATCAAGTTATTAGACTAGTTATCTATGAGATTTGAATATTCTTGAAGGTGTTTTATTTTACCAACTTGTTTAGCATTATAGAAACGTAAAATCTCTTAAGATTTTATTATTCTTTTAGTCACAAACATTTAACAAGTTTGTATTTCATAACAGTAAATATATAGTAAAACAAGAATGATAATTCAAAATATTATTTGTCATTTTACTACAAAATTAATGATGCGTGTTGAGTCACAAAGGTATGATTATAAATTATTAATTATAAGATAACTCTACTATATATATATAGTTGTAAAATCTTTATAATTTATCTAAAGAATGCGTATCTTTATAATGGTATACTCCTGAGACGGCGCTTATATTTTCGTGTTTAGTTCGGTTAGGTTAGAAGGTGTTTCATAATATATTATCTAATTTCTAATCATGTATTTATACTCGTATATAGTATATTATTCACGTGTAATATATTTAATAGTTATATTTAAATAGACATTTTTTAACTCATTGAACGTATACATTAAATACGTGATTGGTCAAATCCTTTTTTTTTTGTCTTTTTTAGAATAATTTTTAATAACAATAATAATGATATAAATAATATATTATTGAAATAATTTTAACCATTTTTATTTTAATTGGAATATTCGTTATATTGTACTGCTGCATTAGAACAAAGATATTAAAATTCCGTTAAACTTCCATCTCGATCATCAGTACTAAAAACTAGTTAATTTTACAAATAAAAAAAGTATTCAATCTTTCAAAAAAAAAAAAAATTCCAATTTTAGTTATTTAAGTATTTTTATTATATACCAAAAATACCTAATAATTTTTGTAATTAAAACTATTCATGTAAAATTTAAAGTTGTTGGTACTCTTTTTTATACTTTCGTGGTCCATTTTACCTACTTATTGTTTTATTTTTCATCTTTGATTCTTGATTGCATTGAAAAAACATGTCAATCATAAAACATCTTTCCAATGGTTTTACTACATCAGCTATCAGGGTATCATCGTTATTTAAAAGTATTAATATTTATATTAGTGATTGATAAATATTGGTCCTTATATTTAATAATAATTCGTATTATAATATTATTATGACATTATTTTTATGGGTCTTTTAGTAGGCCTTATGCACCATTGTTTTGTTTCACTGATTCATAATTTGATTTATTTTTACAGGACCCGTTGCCAGTGTTTTTGTGAATAAATATGGTTGTCGTTCGGTGACCATCGCAGGAGCCATATTCGCAGGCTTTTGTTTGGTTGCCAGTATGTTTGCCAATTCTGTAATAACTTTGTACATAACCATCGGATTCGGAACAGGTATGGAAATTATTTTATTTTGAAAAGTTAGAACACAAATCAACGGGTTAATAAAATTACAAGGTTCATTTTTACGCTGTCATTATAAATAAAAAAATAAAAATACTTACTCATTATTAGTTATAATTGTATACATATTATAACGGAGTCTTAATCGTAATTAATTTAATCATTTTGATCAAAAAATATAAGATAGAATAATATATTAATTGTATTGCATATAGTCGAACATTGACCGTGATATTTACCGTTAAGAATATAATATATTCGATATTATCGTTTTTATATTTATATTCACTACGGTATGTAGTTTATATTCACTACGGTAGAATTTGGTGTGGTAAGATACAATGTTCATAAGCAATTATGTTCCATAAATTAGTTTATTAATCCATGATGTCGGTAATAGAATTCAAAAGAAACTAAACAAAAGTTTTTAGCAACGAACAATTATGTATACATACGAAAAAAAGACAGTTATACATACCATATAATGTTATTGTCAGGTTATTAATTAATTATTATAACCTTGGATGATAAATAGGTATTCGCATTAATAATCTATATTAAATTTATAAGACTAGTCACTTAGAGCATATTTTCTTAGATCGAGCGATAGTAAAAATAATGAAGAATCGTATTATTTATATGTATATATGAAGGTAATGTATATTATAATAATTAATGATATATTATATTTTGTGTGGACAAAAAAATCCATATATAGTTATATTAAAAGAGATATAGTGATTAACGTAAAATGATAATACATTGTTAATTACATATCTTAAAATATATTCTTTATAAAACGAATTATTTTAATATTTCTATTTTTTTTTTCTTTTTATATTTTTCTCATTCGATTTTACAATCTTTCACGAGATATATAGATTATTGTTTATGGTGTTTTAAAAATATCCCAATTGTCTTTAATAAATTGGTGAATGAGGCGACTTCTCTTAGCTATACTGTTATCAATTAAAAATTATTTGGAATTATTGGAATTATATATACTTTTAAATCTCACTTTATTCAGAAATCAATTAATATTAGAATGTTATTAAAAGTAGTGGTCATATATGCAATTGAAGTACTTCAATAATATTTTTGTAATTTGAAATAAATTGAATATTATAAAACTTTATTTAGCTAATGGTTAATGATATTAGTTATTATCTAAATAAAGTTAACAACTATAAGCAATTTAAATACTTCGAAATAAACTCGTTTAAAAACATAACAATGAAAATTAAACAAAATCTAAATATTTAGTTCAATAATTGAAACAACAATTATTGTGAAGATTGAACGTGAGATAGACCTAAGCAACCAAACAAAATTAAGGAATATACATTGGTAAACCTTAAGTATCTATTTTGAGGTTTTATTAAACAATTTTTCTTCTAAAATCGCCCTATGTAAAATACATATTTAACACTATAGTTAAAATCACTTACACATGATTGCATTTGTATTAATTTTTCGTAGTATAAAACTCATATTGAGAATTTGGTCAAATCTAAACAAAAAATAAACATCTTGAACGTTTAAAATATAAATCAAAATATAATTAATTTTTTTTATTTTACCACTAAATGTTATGATAATCGGTTAATATTAAAAAATTTGAATTACTTACGATCATGATGTTCGGAAACACAATAAAATACTATGTTAACATGAATGTGTCACGGTTTGTTTTTTTTTTTTTTTTACTATTTTAAAATTACAGGAATAGTTTGAAAGCAGTTCATACATTAGAATTTATTAAAGATCTTAATAGGAAATTTTTTGACTAATAATATGTTGAAACCAACACATTAGACTTTCTAAAACAAAAGATATAAATACGTTGGGTAATATTGAGATAAATATCGGGGGAAGGGCGAACAACTCGTAAATCCCTCCTGGTTATACAACTGAATATGAGTGTAATATTTTAGAATGTTTGATTTGTTAAGTGCTATTATCTGTACTGTATGTAGCTTTATGTGTAATATCTTATCTTTTTTTGTTAATTTCACATTAAACATTGATAAAAATATATTTTTATGCAATCAAAATTCCGCGATCGGTTTTATTCTCAGAATTTAAGGTTTCCCATTAGAAAACATTTTATTCTAACATAGTAGTATATGAAGATTGTTTACATGAGTTTTCTTTGTAAATAAATTATTTATTAAATGGTATTTATCAAATTTTGATATACAGATTTTTTGTTTTTCATAAACTTGTAAAATAATATACATATTTAATGATATCTAAATATATCTAAATAAATATAATATATATATATATTATATTTACTGCTTATATTTTATCAAATACAAATTTATGACACTAAGTTATTAAGCTTATAGTTTTTTTTTTATTGAAATATATAACTTTCAAACCTGTTTTATTATTAATTTGATTTCTTTAAGACACATAAAAGATATCACTATTTCATGTTTTAACACACTTCTTAAATATAAACAATGTTTATAATTAATAATAAATATTGATGTTAAAAATTGATATTTATCTGATGACTGATTCCATGTACCGCTTTATTTTCAAAAAAACATTCTTTGGGAGTTCAATAATTCCTGTAACGAATAATTAATTATTTTACTACTTTCTATGGGAACTTTTTTTTTAACACCATAAATTAAGTCCACAGCTATTTTTAAGTAACCAAAAAAAAAAAATGTTCAAATTAATTAATAGTAATTTCTAATAATTATTTATGACGATTAAATATTGTTCATAAGTGTTTATCTTCTGTAAATTATTCTAGAATTAAAAAAAGTTTTTATTTTAAAGCTTTTTCAATTGGTAACTTAGCTTCTTTTATTCGTATAAAATAAAATCATTTTTTTTATATTGTAGAATCTTGTTATGAACATTTAAGCTTCTAAGTATATATAATAAAAAGTAAATATCATATAAATATAATAAAAGTCATATTTTCTCTTGTTCTTAAAATATAATTTTTAATTATATTTACATTATATAATTATTAAATTATACGTATTGTTTTTTTTAAATGGCCTTTAAAATGTATAGTTATTATATGTATAACCAAATTTTATACTTTTTATATGTATGAAATCGTTTGAATAACTCTTGGAATATTTAAACGTTTGGTACCATTAAATAAATAAATAGAAATATAGAAATATTTATTTATATTTAAATGTATTTTGTATGCATTTAAACTACCTAGTTTAATTTACTACAGTGTATTCTTGTTTTTACTTTTTTTTATTATTGTTTGAAGGCTTCATCTTGTATGCAACACATCAATTTGTGTACTATATTTGTTATTTTTGTTACCTATTGTTCGAAACTAGATTATTATTTAATATTTTAAATATTTCCAATTTCTAAAGATATGTTTACGAACATTTTTGAATTTATATATAAATATAGAAGTAAATAAACTGTATTAAAAATGTATAGGAGTCAAAGATGTTGGTATTTATGTCAAACATTAGAGTTTTCTATTATTTTTTTATTTAATTATAATAAGATTTTATGTTAAATTTGTATGCATTGATAAAATCTTAAACTGCGCTTATGCAATTCTTTTTTTTTTTATACGGTAAAATTTATATTTTTTTAGTTTTTATTTTCTATATAATTTTGGTATTTAATTTTGTTTTTTTATTTTTTATCTTAATATTTTATCCTTCTTTTATTAAAATTGGTATTTTCGGAATTGTCATTTATTTTCATACTTGTGTACTTTTTGTTTTTTATAAACCTTTTGCTGCCCTTTCTTATTTACCACGAACGTGATTAATTTCACTTTTTGGTTTTTTACACTCTGTCCCCATCAAATATACTTGGTATATATTTCCAGTAAACATGTCAGATATTTAATATATATTGCAATGCACTATGTATTTAATAATATGTATATACTGTGTGCCATTTATTTTATAGTTGTAGTTTCAATAACTGACATGTTTATTAAAATGTTCAGAAGTAATAAAAATTCATTAGGAAATAATATTTTATTATTTATTGCTGTTATATCGAAAACAATTATATTCTTAGTTTTAAATTTCACACTATGGGTTGTCTCAAAATATTGCCTTCTTTATTGAAATTGAAATCGTGTTGTATTGTATAATTTATGTATTATACTGCTCTGACATAAATTTTATATTCGTAGTATCGAGTTTATATTTCTCACAAAAATATAAATGTAAAATAAATAATGGTATGTAGTTGATATTATGTTATGTAATTTATAAATTACTTTTAAGCTTATAATTTAAAAACTTAAACTAGTAATATTTGACTATCGTCAAATTCTATAGTGTTTTGTATAGTTTAATATGATTTCATAATTATCAATGGCATCGATATAGTGTGTATGTCATATATGTAAGGTCGATATTATATCAGTTCGACATCGGTCGGTCGACATAACAAACCAATTAACAAAAGGTCGGTAAACATCAAACGTTAATATTAATTGGCCGACTGATGACAATCTAGTGTATACCAATTTTAAATATATATATATGCACGAGTATATGTATAAATAAATGCAGACAATTACCATTCTATACCAATACACTTCATATTAATCTATGCAACTTTCGCTTTATTTCTGTACTCTTCGTTAAATGCTTAACATATGATGATAAATAAATGTTAACTTGTATTTTATACTTACAATATACTATTGTATGATTTTTTTTTTTTATAATAGATAATCTCAATGACCACGATGTAATATTACTCCATCAATGTTACTAGTACTTTTTTTTGTTACTTATCTCTGCAGCTGTTCTTGTGATGGATTGATTTTTTTTTTTTATCTATAATATTAAATTATTCGGTTTCCATATCACTTTACACTTGTTTTACATTTTAATTTTATACAAAATATTAATTTTTCAAAATTAACATATTGTTAATTGAATGTTCTGTGTACATTTCTATTATAAGTTGCTTTTACATTTTAATACAAAAAAACAGCTATCGATCTCAAATAGATTCTTTTTTTCAGTTAAATAATAAACGTTTCACTTTTATCTTAATATAGAATATGTATATATACCTATTATTCTAAATTTAAACGCCACTAAAATTATTCCATGTCTATATTTAAAAACCATTATTTTTTCATTTGGACATAAACCTTAAATTAATTTTGTTAAAAGCTAGTTAGTTTGTCTTAAATTTGACTGTTTGCTTATGATATTTAACTCCTTCTATAAAGTATTGAAAAATTTGCTGTTTCAAATTATTTTACAAATAGATGATTTTCGGTCTTTGTAAATAAAAAATATTTAAATCATCTAAACCAGTGGTTCTCAATCTTTTTTATATGTCGACATCCTAATTTAGATCTATAAAAATGGCGACACACTGGAAATAATTAATGGAATTTTATTTAAAAAAATTAAAACTTAAAAAAAAATTTAAATTTACTTAATTACAATTTTAAAAGTTCAAAGAAAGTATTATGAAAAACAGTATAAGTTAATAAACATCCAGGCTTGCATAGGTCTTTGATTCGTGGGTAAATGGTTGACAAAGTTTCGCGTAATTTACTCTTAATATTATTTTTGCTTTTTGTTATTTCCAATATTGAATATGCTGATTCAGACATGTATAAGGTTAAAAAGAAAATGAAATTTTCAATTCTTATTATTCTTGTGTATTCGATTTACAGATAAATCCGAAATGAATCACTTTGAGATATACAAAATTTGGATTTTAACGTTATGATTGATGATATTTCTAATAAATAAGAATCAATAAAAATATCATTATAATTTTTTTTTATATACTGGTTTTATTATTTCATCATAATTCCGTTATAATATAGGTACGTTTATACTTTGAAAGCTTACAGTTTCAATTAATAATATTTTAGCGATACACTCCACAGTAATACGTGACACACCGGTTGAAAACCATGAATTTAAACGAATAAAATCAGAAACAATTATATACTAATGCATTGATATTTCCGTGAATTTGTTACTTGATTATTTTGACTAAAAATTGTAAATATTTACGCAACATAATTATTGAATAATGTAATTGGCAACGTGGTGTGTGTTACGTATGAAAAACGAAGAAATACAATAAATTTCCATAGTTCATCAAGCAAATACATGTTATATATATGTATGTATGCGATTCTTTAATTTTGCAAAATATAGTAACAGGTCGACGCGTCGATCAATGTTAATTTCAATATTTCTGTGAAATATAGTTTGAAAGTTATGTTTTTTGTTCTATACTTGTATATTTTAATCATACCTTTGATCAGAAATTGAAGAACTAAACGAGATACATAAAAAAGTTCTAGATTTAAAGCAATTTACTTGGGGGAAAAAACGTTTTCATCAACCTTTGAGATCCTACATAAAATTTAACAATCCTATTTATACATTGAAATTTGGCCAATTTAATGTTTTTTTAATGGTGAACATTATCATAATATGACATTGGCCCTCGCACCAATCCGCAGATATATAACATATATGTGTGTAGCAGAATAACGTTACAAAAAAATGATTATAAGTCGCTTGTGTGTCATGCAGGTTTGGGTTTCGGCATGATCTACCTGCCGGCCATCGTGAGCGTCACGTGCTACTTCGAGAAATATCGATCGTTGGCCACCGGCATCGCGGTCTGCGGCTCCGGGCTGGGCACGTTCATCTTCTCGCCGCTCGTCGACCACCTGATCACCAACCACGGGTGGCGGGTGACCGTGGGAGTGATCGCCGGTCTAGTGTTCATGTGCACGCTGTTCGGCATGCTGTTCCGGCCGCTGGGCACGGAGGAGCAACAGGTGTGCGGCGGCGGCGACAACACGTCCACCATCATACTGAACATCGTCGAGCCGCCGGCCACGGAACGGCAACCGCTTAACGACGACGGTGGCGACGTGACACCAGCGGGCACCGGCACCGTCCGGTCGTGCGAGCATTTGCCCAACTCGGACGACGAAGCGGACGACGAGTGGAAACGGCAGCGGCGGCGCGACAAGCAGGCCTCGTCGCCGTCGCCGCGCAACCATCTGCTGCCCGGCAACGCGGACGCCGCCAACGCGTTCGGCAACGAGCTGGACAAGCAGTCGCGGTTCACCATCAGTCAACCCGAACTGGTGGCCGCGTCGTCCGACAACACCAACCGCCAGCTCAACAACCACCAGCGGAACCAGGTGTGCTACGCCAGCCAGAACCTGAAGCCGTCGGTGCCCAACGGCAGCGGCATCATGTACCAGAAGGACATATTCTACAGCGGCAGCCTGGTCAACGTGAACATGAACCGCAGAAGGTTAGCTATAATATAAGCGCACCGTTACATCCGTTGTCCGGCCGCCCGGTGTGCCGTTCGGTTCGCGTTTCCCGTTACGTATTATCGTAGTATCGCCTCCTGGGTATCAGCGAAACGCCGCCCTTGGGCACCGTCGTAAACGGTGTATACTCGCACAATGTGTGCGCCCCAGGCGTAATGCGATTTGTGAACACGCGCGTGGGTAAGCAATTAGTAGGTTGTGTTACGTAGCGTTCACGCGTACGATTCGTACCGGTTCGATCGATTTCAAGACGACCGAATTCGACGTGTGTCCAACGAATCGGGACGGTTTATCTAACACGGCGGTGCGCAATCTTTCACGACCCTCAAACTAATTCGTTTCGATAAGGCAAATCCTCCTCGCCCCCTTCTTATCAACACTATGTAAGTGTATTATACATATTTAAGGTTTACAAAAATCGTATTCATATGAATTAATTCGTCAATTTTTGGCAATTTTAATATTTTTTCATTTAATTAATCCAAAACGTGAAAAAAATTATTAAAAAATAATGTACATAACGTATAACTTATCCATTAGATAGGCAACCCCTCTCCTAATAAAATTTGGCAACCCACTTAAGGGTCACGATCCCTAGGTTGCGCACCACTAATCTAACCTATACGTTCTATACTTGTGAAAACTTATGCCAATTTTACTCTGTTCTTAATGCCCCATGTGCTTTTGGATTGTGGTGCAATATACAGTCGGTGTCGAATCTAGGAAATTAGGGACTAATGAAAATACAGCGCCTTTACGTAGGTTGAAATACGGGGTGTGTTTATGACTTATTTTATTTTTCATACAGTTAAGCGCTCTAATACCAACTGCATCTGAGACAAACATATTCACTTGCCTCTCCCCATAGATTCGACGCTGTACGTCGTACATTATAATAATTATATAGTATATTACTGTGCACATTTTAAATATACATAATATTATAGTATATGCATGTTTGTGTAATGTGTATGATTATTGTGTGTGAAAGTGTATTAAAATAATGTGAATCAAAAATCCATTTATTCTTCGATAACATGCTAACAGTTTAAAAGTAAATATTACAATGGATCATTGTAAATCTTTACATAGGGTATACATTTATTGGTTATTGGTAGAATTGTAAGTTACAAAAAACACATTTTAACTGTCACTAAATATTTTATTTGTATAAAACAATGAGTAGGTATAAACATATTTTTTAAACGTAATTATATATTCATTAAACTACCACTTTATTACAGTCTAAACCAGCACTGTATCATTATCTACTACGTAAGCGTCGTATGTTCTTAATCTAAACTTCTTATAATCATTTGTGATTAGAGACCAAAACGCCTTTTGTTTCTATTAAAAAAAGTTATAGTGCGTGACATTGCAAATATAAAATAAAACCAAGAGTGATTAATCTATCTGTCCTACATTACTATTACATAATTTTATCATGTACCCGAACTGATCATTGGCCATATTTGTATTTATATATATTTATTTACCTGTAGGTACCGCTTCTTCTCTTTAATAACAACATACTTGACATACTTTCAATGGTATTCGTGAATAATATATTGCTAATGTGTAAAACAACCAAAGTGTAAATAATATTGCCTTTGAGTCTTGGGAATTTTTATCAATATTCTTTCACTAATATTTTCATTTTACATAATTATATAATTTTGCATACCAAAGTCTTATTTTATATTATACCGCAGCTTATAACATTTGTATGTTTCTTCTTTATATTCATTACAACCCAATACTTCGTATATATTTAGAGTGCGTATTGTATGATAGATTAGTACGAGAAGAGATCAATGTTTTCTTTATTAAACATACATACGATGTAGTAAATATACACAGTCTTCTAGACGTTTACTACATAACTTGCAGTCTTCTTATTTTTGAATATTTTGTCGAAAAATTTAAATGATTAATATTTTTATTAATTCTTCGAAAAGATGAAAATGAGCCCTACTGAACAAGTTTGTGTAGGGAGCCAATAATATAAATATTTTAATAAAAAAATTTAAAAATGTTATTTAAATTTATCTTGACATTTTTAATTGAGTATTGTAAAAATCAATCAAATTTTAAATAATTTTAAATTTATTATACGGGACTTTTTTTACCTATATCTTTTTCTTATTATTTAATTTAATTTAAATTAATTTTTCAAATGTATTTTTTTATGTAATAAAATATGAAAAACGCATATTTAAATGCATATTTTTATACTTTAAAATGCGTATGTATAATTATTTATTTTAACGATTTAAAAGTTAGTCTTGATATACTGTTAATCTAAATACCTTGTAAAATAATAAGTATCTACGCCATTGGTTATTCGTGGTTTATTTACTAAAAATATGTACTTTGTTCCATCAATGCATTTAAAGTACCCCGTAAAAAAAATTCTTTAATAATGAATTCGAATAACTTATGTATCCTTCACTACTTTTTTGAGATTTATTTTATGAGAAATATTGGGTATTAAATATTAAATAAGCTATTTATAGATTTATCTTAGATAATTAATATTCTGTAGCCGATTTAAAATGTTCCTTATATTCTATTATGCTTTTGTATATAATGTATTAGTTTTTTTCTTCAAAACGAAATTTTTTTTTTACTTGATTGATTAGCACTAATATGCATATAATTATTAATAAGATTTGACTAATCATTTCTGAATTGTTACATGCACTTCCTCATTTCAATCATAATTTCTTACTATCTCAAATGTGATATGCTGATTGATTATCTTTTAATTTATATTAAAATATTTGTAAGACTTTAAACTTTTAAATGTTTTTATAGATAATTTGAATGCAACTAATATTAGTAGCGAAATTTCTATTCATTTTTTTTCTTTACTTTCAAAGTAAAGAAACAAAGACGTTTTTAAATGCAATTCGGCTTCATTCGAGTTATTTGTAACTATTTGTACATTGTATCCGATTAGCTAAATTCTTAGTTATCTCGAGTTATATTTTGTTATTGATATAAACAATCAAGAAAGAAAAATATGTCCTAAAATAAGTATTTGAATAACAATAAAATATATTCTGAAGTGTTTGAAAACATAATATTTCGTGCTTTATCCTCCGTGAGTTGTAACATTGTTGTTAACCAGTTAATGTTTTGTTGTAGTAATAACTTAAAAAATTTAATTTTACTTGGCTCTGATTACGTTACATTACGAACTCTTTTAATAATCATACTTTACGTATTAAAACATTGTATGTATAAATAAATATGCGATTACAGTTTCTCGACATATTCATAAAATATAAACATACCCTAACTAACATCGCGAAAAAACGTAAAAATAATGAATAATATATCTTCGTATAATTAAACTGCTTTAAGTAATAATCATTTATAATAAATTATCAATATTAATAGGTGCTATCTGTATATTATATTAGGTACTTCATTTTATATATATATATTTAACTGTGGTAAAATATAAAAAAAACTTTAAGGATGTTTAACATATATATATAATTTACGTTACATATAAATATTCATTACAGTTTGCAGTTTTAATTTTAGATCTAACTGATCTATTACCAAATATAAAAAATAGAAATAAAATCTATTTACTCTAATCTGTTTTTTCTTCAAATATTTGATATTAAAGAGAACAATTGTAATAAGTCATGTATAATGAATAAATGTTTTTTAATAAACATTTATAAAATGTCTAAGGTTTTGTTATGATATTAATTAAAAAAAAAGTTTATAGAGATTGGTAGCATATAATTATTAGTTTAAAATAAATTTTACTGAATATTATAAGTACGTGAGTAGAAACGATGATTTCTGACACACCTGAAATAGGAAAAAAAATAATAATTTGCTAGGTATGTAAATAATGTGTATATTTATTATCATAACTGAAATGTAATATTACCTAATCAGTTTATAAAACGTATGCACTGTTAGTATCTACAATGGGATAATGTGATATTACAATAAAAAACGTTTTTCGTTTTAAGTTTGTTATAAATAAATATATTTTAGGAGCATATATGTATTTTTTTTTCCAGAACTATATCTCAAATGACTAACAACAGTGTGCTTACCACCGAAATGAACAACACTAAAGAAAATGATAAGTTTTCAGATAATATTTGCTGCTCCGCCGACGCGAAGAACACGATAAAGCACTTGTTGGATTTCGCGTTACTCAAAGATCCCGTGTTTATACTATATACAGTTTCCAATTTTTTGACAAGCATAGGTTTTAACATACCGTACTTATACTTAGTAGTGAGTAACGTTGTACAATACACTATTTGTTATTGTTGTTACGGTTTTCTCAAAATATTATTTATTTATTTATTTATTATGTTTCAGCCTCAAGCGACTATGATGGGAATACCGACAAAGCACTCGAGTTACTTACTGGCCTTACTTGGCATCGCAAACACGTTGGGAAGAATTGTACTAGGATTCATATCTGACAAACCATGGATCAACAGGTTATTGGTATACAACATGTGTTTGACAATTTGCGGTGTATGTGAGTATTATTTTTTTTAATCCTCAAAAGTGTCATCATTAGAGTCATACACACATGTAGACCAATACCGGCTCTAAAACTGAATAAATTGTAAAATAAATACTTTTCTATTACATAAAATTTATTATACATTATTTAATATATTACATTATATTACATTTATGTAATTTAATTTCACGATTTTTATCATATCTCTTGATTTAGACTGCGTAAATTTTCTACATTGTCTAGTTACGTTCGTATAATTAAAACGATAAATAAACGAACCTATTAATGTACTTTCAATTTTTTAGAGAAAAATTTACATTTTTAAGCACCTATTTGTATATTTTTTTAGAAAATATATTGTGAAATCTACAGGTATAGAAAAGTGACAGTATAAATATTTGAAACGGAGTTGTTAACATTTGTGTAAAAAATTGTAGAAAAAAAACTCGTTTAATCAAACAAGTTTTTTTTTTATAATTTTAATACGAATTTCAGTTCGATTACTATACATAAAAATATTTTTTTATGGTTTAATGTTCGTTGTCCACTCTGCTAGGCTTATGCATAATCGGAAGATATACTCAAATACACATGATGTATCAATATTTATATGTTACTATAACTCAATATTAAATGTTTCTTTTTACATGCAGCCACATTATTAAGCACCTTCTGTACCGGCATACTCACGTTATCTATATATACAATCGTTTTTGGTGCCACAATTGGAGCGTACGTCGGTTTGACATCAGTGATCTTGGTGGACTTGTTGGGGCTTGACAAATTGACAAATGCTTTTGGAATCTTATTACTGTTTCAAGGCATCGCTTCACTTGTAGGACCACCCATTGCTGGTAATATATTTTTTATTTAACTCGTACCATACTATATATATACTTGTCAAGTGTTTGACCCCCTAAAATGTTTAATTAATTTTCAAAATACGTTAGTTGATTATAAGAACTCATGTAAAACCATTAAAAAAATTAATAACGGTTCAGCTATATTTTGCAACATACTACTTAATATTTAATAGTAATAAGTAGAGCCCGGATTTAAATGGACTTAAAACCATACAGATATGTTCTATAAATTAGCCAAAAATGTCCTTAAAAAATGCATTTTACCACAAGAATAACCTTAAAAATGACATCATTTTTTTTATTTTGGGCATTATTTAACACACTATTTAATACATTCAAATCACAAATACACGTAATACGAGCAACGTCTGCGAGGTAATACGAACTAGCTGATTATTTATTATTTGATCGAATACTGGTGACGTTCCATAGTCAATAATAAATTAAGATAAGATAAAAAGTAAATCGAAAAATAAAGATTGAAAATGTTTATGGAAAAACCTGATTAACCTACTTAAGTATCAAGAAAATAATTTGTCTTTTGATTTTATTTTGAATAGGCAAAATTTGTTTAGTATATCGAATTTAATAAGCATTAAAAACCAAGAAAATGGCCCAATAATACTAAAAATGCTCTAAAAATGAAAAACATCGAAATATGCAAAAAACTTTAAAATAAAATTTGTAGTTTTGAAACCTTCGTTACATGTTAATTGCATTATGTTCTTAGAGAGCATTGTGTATGATCAACCAAAAAAATATGCTCTTTACATTGAAATCCGGGCCCTAGTAATAAGTAAATATAGTATTGATTATTATCAGAGTAAAATTATGAACTTTTTCATTATTTTAATTTAAAAACCAGTTATTTTTAATATTTGCAATAAATTATTAGTCTTGCTACGCAAGATACTTGTTAAAAAAAAAAAAAAAAACATTTTACTGGTACAATAAATTAAATTAAAATTTTTCTATACAATTACCGTATATCAAGTACAACTATAAACGTTATTAATATTAATTCCTTAAGTAAAAAACTAATATCACTCATACTTAAAGTAGCATACGTAACACATTCTTCTTTCATTTATATATATTAATATTTTATGAATAATATTTTATTTTAATAATATATTTTTATTATTATTATTATTATTATTATTATCATTACCATGCATGTACCAATAATAAAAGTATTCAAATTTAAAGACATATTTATGATATCGGGTTGTTAAAATCAAATCTACAATATCAGAATTGTTAAAGAATAAAAGCTTTAAACTGTAGTTTCAAGTTTTGTTTTCGGTTAAATTTTAGAGTAAGTACAACAAATAATAAGATTGATTTGATAATAATGGGCCGTTTTTTAGTCAGCACAGATTAATTTTTCTTTGTACCCGTTACCTAAAATAAATGCAATGTATTCCAAAAATCGCGTATAGTCTTATCTAAAAATGGGAAATTAAGTATTTATTCTTAAAAGTACTATAATTTTCTTTTTTAATTTTATAGGAGTCTATAAGTAATTTTTTGAAAACATTCAAAATTTAAAAAAAAAAACAGTACAAAAATTACCAAGATTTGATAAATAGGATTAAATTATTTAATCATTCGTCGTATGTAATACTATTGTATAATAATTATTATACATTCATAACATTTCTTCTTATGACCCATACAATATTCCATCCATGGTCTACTTATTATATCCTTTACGTGTCTAGAACTTATTATCTACCCGAGGTGGAACAAGTGACGAATGACATATGAGTAAGTCGTTAAGTCGATAAGTTGTCCTAGTAATTTACTGATTATTATTTTGTAGGTATTCTAATGAATGGAGTTAATTTTTATTACTTTAAAGATCACGAATAAAAATTAAAATTAAAAATAGGATTGGTAATGTGATTCAAGTAAAAACATACCAATAATTGTATTAATACATTAAAAGGTACATTCCGAATAATATATTTTAAGAAAATAAATTGTTTGTTCAGATGACCAAGGTCTAAAATTTGAATTTATTTTAAAAGATCTGTTGATATATTTAAAATTTGATCCCTATTTTTAAGTTCAATTATTTTATAAAAATTAACGGTATAATTCATCCAATTTATAAAAATTGTAATATTAGTACCAATGTTGTACCAAAAATACTCTCCAATTTTTTTGCAACTATCCATATATGTATAATTCTTAAAATATATTCATGACGGAGCAAATATAATTTTTTTACTCGTACGGTCATACGTGTACAAAAATTCCTATTCGTTTCTGTGATATGTAAACGGTCATTGTCACGTCATGACTCTCTACTTATGTTCACTATAGTTGATATCAATTATATTTTCTCCTAATCGACCTATTGTAAATAGTATTATGAAGTATTTAAAAGATTGCTATACTTATAAAAAATATAAACAAAAATTAAGACATCGAGTATTAGTTATTGTTGAATATATTTTAATATTTTTTTTTTTTTTTTGAGGATAATATATATGCAATGGTATATGCAATCAAATTAAATCAAAATCTGCCTTATTGTACCATTCAAAATTATTGTATTATTATTATTAATGTGCGATTTGGTTTTTTGTTTACAGGATGGCTGTTTGACGTACTGAATTCTTACAACCCTGCCTTTTACTTATCGGGTATAAGCATCACCTTTAGTGGTTTAATGTTGTTCGTAATACCGTGCGTCCAAAGGCATTGTGAACGACTTGAGCACGAAAAAATGACTGTAATAGTTAACAATTAAGACACTTACATACACACACACACACACACAATGTACTCCTATACGAATTGTTACGTAACGTTATATGGGAAAATATTTTTAAAATAATTATTGACATGAATCAAATCTATTACGTCCACCGCCCTTAGGACTTATTTTTCACGCAGGAGGTATTTTTTTATTTTCATCATTGTTTTCCCCACAGGGGGATTCTATCCTGTTGGATTTTTGCTCAATATACTTAATTATAGTTTTGATCGTGAGATACTTTTTACCTTAATTGTTGTCGAGCAGGGAATGCATCACAAGTTATTGAATTTTTTTTTGTTTTGTTTTTTCCCTACTATATTAAATATCTATCGAATTAATTATTACATGTTATAGTTAGAGAATGTTTCTTTGTTGAATGTTCAAATGCATACAATTATAATTATATTATTATTTTTTAATCATTTAATACGATAATTCAGATGATTCATTATGATTAATAGAAATCTGATAATCAAAAAATTAATAATGAACGTTATAAATTAAATACAAATATTTATTTTTATAGTTTCGAAATCGACTTAATATTATCTAATGTAACATAAATAATCAATTACTTTTTAATTCAATTGACTCGATTATTAGTCTAATATCTCACTATATACGTATAAATGTATTATATATTTTTTTTAAGAAATACGTCAAGCTATACAGCTATATTTGTTATTTTATTACATATAAACGACCCATTATGACTTGTAACATCTATCAGTGTTATTATTAGTTAATACAATATTACCCGGTAAACCTTTTTTGTGTCGTATAAAATATTTATATTTATGTGCTGGTCAAATAACGTTTTGATTCTTAGACGATTGTTGGTCACACATATCTGTATAAAAATAAAAAATAAAATTATGAGTTAAATCTGAAGGAAAAATATAACGAAAAAACATCAGGTCTTTTCGAATGGATTCAGAGTGACGAGATTTCTTTCTTTCATATTACGTATTATAAAATGTACACACACACACACATACACAAACATACACGTATATTTTGTTTATTAAAGTAAATTTTCTTAAATTTGTCAGATGGTAGACGCGGGTAAGAAAGCGTTCCTTAATACGGACTATCGGTTCTAAACAGAAACCTGTAAAATCTGCACAATCCGTCTAGGACATATTTTATTATATATAATATTTATCTATTTCACTGATGATCTTTTTGATTTTTTTTGGGAAAAATTTTATTTCTTCTGACGCTCACCCGACCAAAACGGTTTATGTACAAACATAACGTGTACATCATCATTAAATTATTGTTTATTCATCTACACAGGTTTGTAGTGTACTATCTCGATGAAATAAATCACAATCTGCGGTGTACTCGTTTAATCGAACATCTCGTCGTAGACCAGCCCTTATTATTGTGTAAAATATTATATGGTCGACCGCGTAATGTTAATAATAATCAAAACGATAACGCATTAGTGATGTATCGCAACTCAAGTTTACTGTCTCACTGACATATATTTGTATTATTATTTTATTATTATTAATAATTATTATTATTATTTTTTTTTTCTAACAATAAAAATTTATTGTTTATAAATATATTTAAATCCATCGCTGTTCTAAGCTAAACTTTGTATCACTTAGTCGTTGTATTTTATACATTTTTGTTTATATGGTACAAAATCAAAAAAAAAAAATAACTGAGGCCAATTATTTAATGTTAAGTATTAACTATATATATAAGGAGTTATTGTTATATATATATATATATTTACTAAGCATAATGATGTGCAGAAATATTTTTAATAAACGCTTTTTCGATGTATACAATGTTTAAATATGTAATATTATTTTATGTTTGTGTTGTATACAAGGACTCTGGGTTAAACTTTTTTTCCTCCGTCGGACCCATAGAAACTGTATTGTTATGCTCTTATATTGTTGTATTGATAGTATCGCCGAGGCATAACGAGTCGTACTTCACCGCATTTGTTACTGCATGTGAACACGTAACCATGCATAGAAATGAGAGCCATGGGATAGGGGGGCGAAAGGGGCATTTAATAATACCCATATTAGTTGTGCACTGTTGACCACCATTAAAAACTTAGTACGCCTTTGAGCGTATAAAATAATACTAAAAAAGAAAAAAATCCTTAATAAAGTTCTTGCCGGCTTCCCCCCCCCCCCCAAATCGAGCTTTCGGTTCGTCTACTTGCAGCGATTCTCATAGACATCGTGTGCCTTGTGTTGACGCGTATTACGATGACATGATTTTCAACAGATCGAAATTCATTAAATTAATTAAAAAAAAACATATTACCCATTGCATAGTGATTATTGTCTGTGTATGCGCGTTCATAGTTAACAATTGTTATCGTTTTAATGGGCATCAACTAATTGAAGGTAACGTGTATGTATTATTGTTTATGAATCGTCGTCACGTCTTGTTGAACACCTATTTCAACTCGTTGCAATCGTGTTTTTCGCTGTTTTATTCTTATTTCTTATTAATCGATTGCCGATTACACGCACGGTATAGTGCAAACCAATAATCAATACTTGGCAAAAACAATACGAAAAAACTCTACAATACTGCGAGGTGTTTGGCTAAGGCCTTAGGGACAGTCGAACATCTCTAAGACCAATAGATCGAATGCGACATCTGAAAAAATGACTAGCTAATATTGCAATACGTACAACCTGTTGTCAAAAAATACCAACAACCTTAATCCTTCTTAATATTCTTCGAACGGACAATAACACCGCAGCATATTATTACGATTAACGATGACGTACTTTCGAAATTTATCGAAACGTAATTTCGTACTGCAGTTTAATGATATTTCGTTGCTCAAATCGAATGGAACATCTACATATAAGTGTACTTTTTCGAATCGCTGATATAGTTCCTCTAAACGTATGTGTTTTTTTATTTTTTTATTCGCGATTCATTCACAACGTTAAATTGAGTAGTTACGCTCGAGAGTGTTCTGTTTTCTCTGGAAGACATTCGGGTCTTAAAATTCAATTACAATAAAATGTCGACTTATTTATAGATGACCTCCATATAAGCGTTTTACAATTTTTTTGAAATTTGAAACTATCACGCCTGCAATAAATACGTGTTTGTCTATAGTACATGTTGGTGCTCTCCACGATCGGTAATTTTAAGGACCGGACCGGACTGTAAACGAAGGACCGAACCGATTGCTAATTTTTTTTTTTATACCAAGCCATACCGGATACATATTATAATTTGAAAGAGCGGTCAAACAATTCGAACTAAAAAAATTTCGGACTGTGAAAGTTTTGAATTATACCACTTAATTAGTGTGGTACGCAGGGAAAGTATATTATTCGATATGTGCGGCAACGTTATCTTGGGTGCCCATCATAATGTAGGTAATCAGCACAGTAATGTCATAGTCGGCGTAGCGAACATGTTAGCTCTATATGCAACGACTTACGACCGTTTGCTTTGTCACAACTAATTAATTCAACAGTTATAATTTACAATAAAAAATTCGTTTCAATGATTCAAATACATGTTTTCATTGTATGTAACATATAAACTACATTGTATATAAATACAAATTCTATCCGACGGAGCGGCGTGGTAGCTTTGCACAAGCCTTTCCATGTTGCCCGCACCATAACGAGTATAATTGCAACCGTTGTTCTCGAAAATTTGTTCGATAATAATCAGGGACGCCCGGAGGGGAGGATTAGATTGGGCCATTTCCCCCCACTCCTGAAATTTTTCATATAACTTGCAAAATTAAAAGTTTTCTTACATAAAGTCGGTCGTGGCTCATATTAGGTACTCGGCGACAATTCAAACCCCTTGATAATAATCATTATCAGGTACCACGAACATCTCTGAGATATATACCAACAAACAGTGGCGTGTTTTCAAATTTCTTGTGAGGAGGTTTTAAATTTTTCCAAAAAAATAAGTTATACTTATAAGGCATTAATTAATAAGTATATTGTTCTATTATTATTATAAATACAAATGAAGACTTATTTACAAGCACATTATACAAATGAATGTTCTTTTTCTCTGCACCTTCGTAACAAGTCATTTATGACTTTTGGACTTTTTTTTCTTTGAGTGGAGGGTCGAGATCCGAGAACCCCTTATCAAAATACACCACAGCCTACAAAGTACATACAACTACGACGCAGAGGTGAAATATTGATTCCCATGTTATAAAATTATAATTTTATTAAAAATATCTTTAAAATTTTAAATCATTGTTTAATGGATATTATACGAGCCGTAACCACGACCGATCGATTCGAACCGCACTGAAATGATTATAGTTTAAACCAGAACTGGGCCGAAATCTTTCACAAAAAACATGGAGTCAGACCAAATTGATCCTTCGCCAATTTTACGATAGTATACATTATACGATAAGACCGTACCGTACAGACCACCTGTATTTCAAGTGGTACCTACATTGTGTCATATCTTAACGAAACTTGTAGATATACTTAGTACTGTGGTATATTAGTCCCAATGAATATATTTTCCTTGAATCTCGTTTCGTATATTTTTCTCGGATAGCTTCAATTATTTATGACTGGTTCATTTGCAGTCAATCGTAACTGTTATCATATTATCATATGAAATTTTCGCACGACAATATGGAGCATTTTTTTCTTTTTTTACGAAATTTCGTTTATTTTTTACCAAATATTTTAGGATAATTACATTTAATTTGAACAACATTAAATTTAAAATATTGGCCCTTAACTCCTAGACGTACATTTTAGGGCCCCATTTACAACATTTCAGGATAAGAAGACACAGCCGGTATCTTCCCGTGTGCACGCCTGTGGCACTAATATATGTACATTTAAATGTATAACGCATGCATACACTTCGGGTGTACAAATTGCTCGTTAAATTCCAATTGTCATAAACACGTGACGCCCGTTTGCGTGTTTGAAACAATCAGACGAAAATAAAAACGATTATTCCCGAAACGACATGGTACACGCCATGAAAATAATTCGAAAATATTATAATCGATTTTATAAAGTATAAAACCAACCGAATTACGGGCGTAGTTTGTTTACTTGTAGAGTCATAGCATTTTTAAAA